GGTGCCAAGATAAGTCAATGGAGAAAGAATCCTCTTTTCAACAAATCATGCTGGGACTACTGGATAGCCACATTCAAAGAACAAAGTTGGAAGTCTCCCTCACGCCATATGTACAAATTAACTCAAAATAGATCAAAGACCTAAACACAGGAACTAATACTATAAAACTCTTAGAAAACATAAGTGTAAATCTTCATGGCTTCAGATTAGGTAATGGTGTCTAAATATGGACAGCAAAATCACAAGCAAAAGATAATTGGTAAATTAAACATTACCAAAATTAAAAAACATTTGTGCCTCAAAGGACACCATCAAGAAAGTGAAAAACAACCCACACAATGGGAGAAAATTTCTGCAATTCATATTTCTGATCAGAGACTTAAATTCAGAAAATAGAAGAACTATTACAATTCAATAATAAAAAGACAATCCAATTTAAAAAATAGACAATGGCTATTTTGCCAAAGAGGTGAAAATGGCCAATAAATCACATCAAAAGATACTCAATATCACTAGCCACCAGGTAAATGCAAATCAAAAACCACAATGAGATACCACTTCACACCCACCAAGATGGCTAAAATCAAAGAAAGATAAGAATAAATACTGGTAACGCTGTGGAGAAACTGGAACCCTCTAACACAGTCATGGGAATATAAAATGGTGCAGCTTCTTTGGACAAAAGTCTCACAGTTCCTCAAAAGGCTAAAGACAGTTACCACATGACCCAGGAGTTCTGTTCCTACGTATATCCTGAAATGAAAATGTACGTCCACAGAAAAACTCGTACTCAAATGGTGATGGCAACATTATTCCTAATAGCCACAATGTGGAAATAAACCTGATGAATGGATAAATGAAATGTGCTATATCCATACAATACTATTTAACAATAAAAAGAATCTAAATACTGAGAATGTGACAACTTGGGTGAACCCTGACAATGTTCTAATTGAAAAAAGTCAGTCACAGAGCACCATATATTCTATGATTTTGTTCATATGAAAGTCTAGAACAGAAAGTAGATTAGTGATTGCCTAGGGTTTGGGATAGTGAGTTAAGAGGAATTAGCAGGTGACACTAAAAACTAAGGGACGGAGTTTTTTTTTGAGTGATGAAGATGCTCTAAAATGGATTTTATGCACATCTCTGCAAATATACTAAGAGCCAGTGAATTGTACACTTTAAATAACTGAAGTGTATGCCATGCCATTTGAATTATATCTCAATATAACTTAAAAAAAACAGAGATTTCTGGCCCCAATCTGATTCAGCCTGAGCAGTTTATTTATTTTTTTAATGTTTTTTTATTTATTTCTAGGAGAGAGAGAGAGAGACATCGTGAGCAGGGGAGGGTCAGAGAGAGAGGGAGTCACAGACTGAAACAGGCTCCAGGCTCTGAGCTGTCAGCACAGAGCCCGACGCGGGGCTCGAACCCACGAACCGCGAGATCATGACCTGAGCGAAAGTCGGACGCTCAACCGACTAAGCCACCCAGGCGCCCCCTGAGCAGTTTATTTTTAATCAGCTTCCTAGATGATCCTGGTTACAGGTGGATTTATACTAAGCACTAGAAAAATATATATGCTCTTATTATGATAGGTACACCCCAGGCCTCACCTCCTACCAGAGCTCATGGATTGGCGGTAGTTGCAGACTAAAACTGCCACCCATTATTCTGAAATAATTACACTGGGTTAGACTTTGGAACCCAGAGAAACAGCGAATTTTCTAGATGCATTTTCTTTTCTCTATTGCTGGAATTCAAAACTCATGAACAAGGACACCGATTGTGTTGCTATCTGCGATCTACAAGGAGGAAAGTGAAAATCTCTAACTTCCATGTGATCTGTTTTTAAAAGGCATCAGATAAAAGTCCCTCTAATCTACCACAGAAGTACATTCCATAATTTGCCTCCTGCCTACATGAGTCTGGTGAGAGGGAGGCTGCAAGGTAGCTACTGACCTCAGCTGTCTCTGCGCAGGAGGGGCTAAAGACACAAACACGCTCACTTTTTACCCACAATCATAAAAACCACTAAATGTCAGAACCAGGCGTGACTTAACAGAAGATAAAGCCCCAGCTTCTCATTCAAAGGTAAGAGAACCAAGTCCAGTTAAAGACTTGGGATTAGAATATAACATTACAGATCCTTAGTCAATGTTTCCATCACACCATAAATGATCTATCCTCCCTGCCATCTCCGCTGGAACACAACTGGGGCAGGATTAGGGGTGCAGGGGGAATTCTGCATGATAAAAAATACGAGTTCAGAGTTTGATATGATTATCCTCACAGAGAAGTTCAAGAACAGGAAGTCAGAAAGTTCACTAGGCAAACCTGTAGTTCAGCAGTTCTCCATTCCATTGCTCTGGAAAGCTGCGCCAAGTCCCCATTTTGCAAATTGTGATCTATGTATCATGAGCATCCCAGTCACCCAGAAAGACAGATTCCTGACTTCACGGAAGAGGGAACCACAGTGGAGTACTTCCTACTGGAGAGGGCCATTGAGAATTGGCCCTGGGTGTGAAGGCTTGCAAGAGAAATGTTTGGGAGATAAGAGATGACATCAAATGCAACATCATGTAATTTCTATTTTGGTACATTTAGAATGCCCCATGCACTGGACCCCACAGCCAAAAGGAGCTACCTTTGTGTACTTACACCCAGTAGGGCCTAGCTTAAGGAAAGAGGCTCAGGATTCCTCCAAGGCCCTGGATGAGGCAAAAAGACTCATTGTGAGTTTCCTCTATGGGACAAAGAGGAAAGCTATCCTAGGTGTTAGTGGTTGTCAGCCAGTCACACACTTCTGGAAGGGGTTATCAGAGGCAGGCCAGGCCAGCAAAAGTAGAAATCAAGTTCCATTCACTCAGCCCAATTCTAGGACCTTGCTTTCAGGTCATGGTAGAAAGAAGAAATGTATCATTAACAGCACAATGACTCTTCAGCATCTGACCTTGGAAGAGATAACAAGCATTTAAAGAATTGAGACACTCCCTGGGGAGGTAGGTGGAATAATAATAATAAAAAAAAAAAAAAAAAAGGAAAGGAGTACTTAATAGGAGATGAGACAAAGGGGAAAAGTAAAGCATTCACAAAAGTGGACATCCATTCCACCCACCCTACTTCACATTCTCCATGCTAACAAGTCCAGTCCTAGAATTTCACAGAACGCTGTAGTTGGAAGAAAACTTAAAACTCTACCTAGCCCAAAGCTCTACCCAATACAGTAATCGAATCTACAACATTCCCAAAAGTAATTGCCAAGTGACAATTATCTCCAGTGACAGGGAGCTCCATGCTTTCTCTGTGTTGCAACATGAAAGAGCACTTATTCTTAGAAAGTTCTTATGCTTACCCAAAACCCACTTCCCTTTTGGCACTTGCATCCATTGGTCCTAGTTATAGTCTCTGGAATACTGAAGAAATGGAACCTGCCTTTAAAGTAGACAAAGATAGCTCTGAGCATGTCAAGCTGCCACAGAGATGTGGCTGAATGAACAGCTACACGGTATAAAGGGAAAATAAGGACTCAAAAGCAGGTGATTATAAATGGCACCATCAGCAAACAAAGGAACAGAGACTCAATACCACCATCGCAGCAGTCTCTTCTTCATACAGCCTCCACCCCACAGGGTCAAACTAAGAGCAATAGATCATGTCTTTTGTGTCCCTTTACTTCCTGACAACAACAAAAAAAAAACCTTTAAGGAAAACATACTCTAAGTGTACACATTAACTACTATAGACGAGGCCCTCAACAAGAGTCAAAGAGGGGTTTGATCATGTTTAAAATAATTAAAGACCATCAAAATAATTTTCAGCCATGAACATTTACCTTGGACATAACACAGAGATAAGAAGAAAGAGGAGGATTTCATGGCAACTAGAAATAAGTGAAGTAGGGAAACTGCTTCCCGGACAACTGTTTTAACCTTTGTTGCATGGTGGTACTAATGCACACAGGGGAAAACCCTCTCTGATTCGAAAACAAGCAGAGCTGAGCGCCCGAATGTCAAAACAGAAGAGGTCCTTAGGGATTCAAGTTCACCACTGTACAGGCTGGGAAACCTACACCCACCCCAGGATGGGAGTCACCCAAGGCTGCAAAGCAAGTGTCAGAGCTAGAACACAACCTCTCAATTCCCCAATCTCGGCTCTTTCCATTACACCCTGCTGCTCTCTTGTTTCAGCAAGCCTCAAATGAGTGCAGGCAAATAACCAGTATTCCCCAAATGACACAAGCTACAGAAAAAAATAAAGCCAAGTTCTTTACATTCTTCGAGTGAATGCCAGGGCTTTGCACAGCCCCAGCTGTGAGCCACCTTCTCCAATTCTTATTTCACATCTCAGTGTGATTTACACAAAATTGCAGGACGCTTAGAAGCAAAACCTACAGAATGATGAGTCTGCAGAAAAATCGTGAACACTGAAACAGGGAACCACACCCAAAGCCAAGCCAATCCGGGAGATGGAGAATGCAGAGCTAAAAAGGGAGCGCTAGAAGAGAAGAGGACAGGAAAAGGGTGTCTTTCCACATGTCAAGTTTTCCGCAGGAGGCAGTGTGGTGAAAGGAGAACGAACAGCCGCTGGAGCCTGGGGAGACTGGGATCCTAGTCGCAGGTCTGCCACGAACTCACTGGGTGGCCTTAGGCAAGCCCCGACCCGTTCCCGATCCTCCATTTCTCCAGCTGTCCTGGAATGGGGTTGCACCAAGTGATCTACCGGGATCCCGGTTCCGGCATTCTATGACCCAAAGACCCACTATTAGCGAGTCCCCAGCAGGGCTCCTACAATGCCAGTCACTTGCCCAAGGCGACTGGACCCCTTTGGGAAGCGTGGAAGAAGTCCTAGCTGGTAGTTAGGGTGACCTTTCTTATCTGGGCACCTCAGTTTCCCCACCTGTCAAATGGCAGAGGGAGGGAAGGCAAGGGACAGAGCGCCAGGGAAAAGGGATTCTCCAGTTGACCTCATCCCGGGAGGGGTGCCCGCATCTTACCGCGGCTGAGGCGGGGGAGCCGAGGAGATTCGGACCTGCACCCCAAGCCGATCGGTGCCTGACCCGGCGCATCCGCTGAGCCCCAGAAGAAGGCGAGGCGGGTCCTGCGGGAGGCGGTGACGCGCCGTCAGCCCCGGCCCATCAGCGCGCGGACTCACCGCTCCCGCTCGGCTCCGGCTCTCCCGCTTCAGCTCAGCCCACCGGTCCCCGCCTCAGCTCCGAGCCCCAGCCATCCCCCCCACTTCACCGCCGGGGCAGCCGCTTCCGGGCCCCGTCACGTGATCCCGGCGCTCCAGCCGGAGACCCGGGTCACGTGTCCCAGCGCGTGGCAGTTCCCCGCCTCTCGGGAAGCTCCAGAACCCGGCTCCGCAGCACCACCTGGCGACCTGTTGCTGACGCTGCAAGCAGGCCCCGGGGCGCGGCAGAAGTGGGCGGGGCTTTGACTTCGGAGCGCAGCCAGCAAGTCCCCAGAGCTCTGTGTCCCCTGAGACTTGGGCTCATTTCTGCACACGGTGTGTTTTCCTTAACACGTTTCGGAGAGCATATGTTGCTTTTATAATTTAAAAAAATACCTCTTTTTAAAAATCATCTAGTCCTATTTTTCGAAGCTTACACAAACTCATTTATGATTGCTCCTGGAAAGGGACTGTGAGGTAAGGCAACATTATTATTTCTAACGTATTTAAAATTTAAGTAATATTTTTAAATAGATGGCAACATTTCAGTATGTTTGAGGTGTACATGTTACCTTGCCTTCTCTTTCCTCCTTCTCCCTGAAGTTTTCCTTTAAAAATTATGTAACTAACAAATTAATTAATTTGAAATTATGTAACTACTCACACACACACACACACACACACACACACACACAAGGAATAAACTATTGATATAGCTACAAAATGGATAAATCTTAAAATAATTCTGCTGAGTAAAAGAAGTCATAAAAAATATTCAATGTATCTAATATTCTAGAAAATGTTAAATAATCTCCAGTGACAGAAAACTTATCAGTGGTCTGGGAGTGGGTGGGGAGGTCAAGACGGGAGAGATTATAAAGGTGCATGAGGAAACTTTCAAGGTGACAAATATTTTCACTACCTTGATTGTGATGATGGTTTCACAAGTGAATATAGATTTTAAGTTATCAAATTATATACATTCAATACATGCCATTTAAAAATAAATAAAATTTTAAAAATATGTGCAGTTTATTGTTATGCAAATTGTACCTCCATAAAGCTGTGTAGATAGTAAAAATTATATAATATATTAATATATTGTTATTATTAGAAATGTTAGCCAATACGTAAATATAAAAACAGTGAAAATTTCCCTTCTCCCAAATTCACTCTCTTCCTCCAAAGAATTACAGTTACAGGCATGTGAGTCTTGTTCTCCATACACTATACTATGCGTTTATAGAAATATTTATACAGAAAGATGTATACCGGTTTGTGGTGTTAAAATCTAGAATCATGAATTACAGTACTTACTGTTTTGGTTAAGACTCTTACTCTTCACTATCTATATACACTGTCTCAATTATTTCATAAACATATATTACTTTATATATTTAAAGCTTTTGTATGTTCTATAACCTATACATATTTTTTTAATGTTTACTTATGTATTTTGAGAGAGAGAGAGAGGGAAAGAGAGAGAGAAAGAGAATGCACAAACTGGGGAGGGGCAGAGAGACAGGGAGAAAGAAAGAATCCCAAGCAACCTTTGTGCTGACATGGGACTCAGTCTCACAAACCAGGAGATCATGACCTGAGGCAAAATCAAGAGTCAGTCACTTAACTGACTGAGCCACCCAGGCACCCCTACATATTTTTTAAAAATCTACCCCAGTTGGTTCATTTCACCAGGAAAAGAGAAAAGAATGCAGGTTCATGCTCAATTTAAAGTAGGAAAGCCAGTGAATTCATCCTATCTCTGGAAGATTCCACCAGTTCATTGACAGCTCAGTGCCAGGAACTGTGCTTGGAATGCTTCTGAATCCAGGTTACCTCCAGGTCTTGAATTTCATTGATCATTTGGCTCCTTGTGTCTCAGTCAAGAAAGCCAGATCTTATGAGAACCAGAGAGCTCCCTGTTGGAATTACTGATGCAAATGGGAATTTGCCTTCCCCAGTCTGCTTCTGGGAGGCATTGACTATGAGGATTCTTTCTTATATCTGGCCACCACACTCTTACTAGAAAGACCTTTGAAAAAAGGTTGCATTATTTTCATATACTGTTAGGATTCTACCAAGCTTATCATTATGCAGTCCTAATTAGAAGTTAACACAATTACATCTCCTTGTCATTCCCAGAGAACTTTTTCCAACTATACAAATCCCCGCCTCTGCTTCCACGGTCTACCCAGAAGTATAAATGAAGCTTTCCTGTTCAATATGGGCGCCTGGATGGCTGTATAAATAAGGATGCCTGGGCGGCTCAGTTGCTTAAGCATCCAATTCTGGCTTAGGTCACCATCTCACAGTTGGTGGGGTGTGAGCCCTATGTCAGGCTCTACGCTGACAGCTCAGAGCCTCGAGCCTGTTTCAAATTCTGTGTCTCCCTCTCTCTGCCCCTCACCTGCTCTATTCTCTCTCTCGAAAATAAACATTTAAAGATTTTTTTTAAATATGTGGATGTATATATAAAGAAATCACTTTGATTCTTTTATTCCTTGAAAACTATGCAAAAGTGAAAGGTAAAAACTCTGAAAACTCTATTTTCAGCAAAGGGAGAAGATAGAATCCACAGATATGGAAATATGTGTAAGGGCTAACAAGAGCAGCTGAGATTAGACAGAAGCTTTGAAGGATAATGGAAAAGAAATTCAAAGAGAAGTAAAGGGACCCGTGGAGTCAGATCTCAGGAATGCGCCAGTGAAAACACTCTTTCTGAAGATGAAGAGCTCACTTAGAGCTGCACGGCTCTATTTCTTTTGTTTGCAACAACAGGTGTGGAAACAGTTCAGCAAGACTCAACAGAAGCTCTCCTGGATCTGGTTTGGATCAGGGAAGCCAAGAAGATGAGGATGCCACCCAGAAGCACAGGGAGAAGCCATACTTGCAGGAAGCAGTTGGTCTATGGCAGTAGAACAGAACAGACTGGAAATACACTTGGGGGAGGTTGTAGAACAATTGCAAGTCTCATCCACTGCTGGCAGGAGTGGACAATGATACATTAAAGTGTTTTAATGGCTTTTTACGCAGTTAAACACATAGCTATCCTGTGATCCAGCAATTCCACTCCTAGGTATTTACTCAGAAAAAATAAAAACGTTTATCCACATTAGGGCCTAGACTAGGGTGAGGAAAGCAAAGTGCCTCAGGTGGGAAATTTAAGGAGGCACTCACTTTTAGGATTGTACAGGTGCAGGGTTGGCACTGACATGGACACAAGAACCAGTGCTTCCTTAAATTTTGTGACCTAGGCCTCCTGTCCGGTCTCATCCTAGGCCAGGCTGTGGCCCCCACACACTTGTATTCAAATTTTCACAGCAGACAGCTCCATAAAGCTAAGTTAGTGACAACCCACATATTTGTCAGTAGGTGAATCGGTAAACAAACTGTGGTAGATAGAGCAGAAAGGAACTATTGATACGTGCAGAAATGTGGCTGAATCTCATCAGGGCTAAGTGGAAGAAGCCATACACATAAACTTGCATACTATATGATTCAGTTCATATAAATTTAAAGAATGGGCAAAACTGAATCTAGTGACGGAAAGCTGAACAATGGTCTCTTGACCTGTGTGGGTGGGGATTAGCTGCAAAGGGACACAGAGAGCTTTCTGGAGTGATGCTAATAGTCTATATATTGATTGGGATGCTGGTTATGTGGGTTTATTTATTTACTTATTAAATTAAATTACTTATTAAGCATTTGTTTATTTATTTATTTAAAAGTAAGCATGAACAGGAGAAGGCACAGAGAGGGGAGTGAGAATCCCAAGCAGGCTTTATACTGCCAGCGCAGAACCCGATGCAGGCTCAGGGCTCGGAGATCATGACCTGAGCCAAAGTTGGACACTTAACTGACTGAGCCACTGGGTGCCCCTAAAATACGTTAAATTGGTTGTATATAAATTGTACTCCTAAAGGTTCATTTAAAAATTGTAAAGAGATTACCAGACATCTGAGAAAAGCCTCCAAGATAAAAGAATAATCAAATGCACAAACACATGAAGCACTTTGGAGGAGACTGTGCAAAAAACAACATGCAAACAAATATCCTCAGAGAGATAAGATGCTGCAATCATGACATAACAACAACAACAACAACAAAAATATTGCTTTTAAAAAATATTGTTAGGGAGGGGCTCCTGGGTAGCTCAGTCGGTTAAGTACCTAACTTTGGCTCAGGTCATAAACTCAGGGCTTGTGAGTTCGAACCCCATGTTGGGTTCTGTGCTGACAGCTCAGACAGAGCCTGGAGTCTGCTTCAGATTCTGTCTCTCCCTCTCTCTGCCCTTCCCCTACTCATGCTTATGCTCTGTGTCTCAAAAATAAATAAACATTAAATATTTTTTTTAAATATTGTTAAGATAAAAACCAGCTCTTGGAAGTTAAGAATGTAAAAACAAAAATGAAGACTCAAATAGAAGAGTAAGAAGATGAGGATAAAGAAATTTGTTCTTTTCATTAATGAATATTTATTATCTATGTGCCAGGCACTGGGCCTGGAACAGTGAACACAATATACAAAAATCCCTGTCATTGTGATTTACATTTTAGCGAGGGGAGACAACAAAAATAAACAAATAATATTCATATCATGTCAGCAGGTATACCTGTTGTGGAGGAAAATCAGGAAAATGGGAGAGGGAGTCTGGAGGCAGAGAGGAGGGATTGCAGCCTTTTTCAATAGTCAGAAGATACTATTGAGAGATGATATCTCAACAAACTCCTAAAGCAGGGAAGGAAAAAAGCCCTGTGGACTTCTTTAGAAGAGCATTCTGAGCAGAGGGAACAGCACATGCTAGGGGCCCAGGAGAGAATATGCCTAGCCTATTCGAAGAATTAAGAGGGAGTCCGTGTGTGCATGATACTATATGTAGAAAACCCTAAAAACTCCATCAAAAAGACTACTAGAACTGATAAATGAATTCAGTCAGGTCACAGGATACAAAATCAATATACAGGAATCTGTTACTAAGAATGAAGTAGCAGAAAGAGAAATTTAGAAAACAATCACATTTGCAATTGTGCCAAAA